GCTACTTATTATAAGATCTTTTCAGATTCATATTTTTACATGTAAAGTGTTTTTTTTTTTTTTCCTCAAATTAATAAAAAGTGGAGATAACAAACAGTAATCAGACTTAAAAGTTCATTGGAATAATGCAGTATGGACACAGACGGAGATTGGATGAGGTGCCAAAAAGGAGTAACCATTCTCTTTCGATCAGTCACATCCGCCATGTGCTGCTCTTGATCTTGATCTAGGAAACGGAAAAATTCCTAAAAATTTCTGTGTATGTGCTGTTTGACGTAAATTCTTTCTGATTAGGAGAAAGTTAAGACGTGTTCAATTTGTTGTTGCCGTAGACCATCCCCCACCCATTAGCTTTATTTCTATAAAATCGATCAGTAAATGAGAAAAAAATTTATGATAAATCAATACATGGAATTTGTAATTATGTCACTAAATATTTCCAAAACTAACAGAAAATGTATGTTGTATTTCATCAATGAATTTAGATGGAAAAACCACGCCAATTAAAACATCCCAAGAAGATAACTTTGATTAATGGAAAAAGGTGCGCAAGTTCGTAAAAATTGCCATTCCGAAATTGTCCATCCCACTGTTATATCAGTTTCCTCCGAGTCGTTAAAATAAATAAGTTCTCTGCATGAAACATTCAAATATTTGCATGAATGACTAAAATATCTTTGCATGTTTTAAATGTAATTTCGTGTAGAAAGATTTTTCATTGAAATGTTTAATTTCCGTTAAAAATACAATATTTCTCGCTTTACTGGGAGGGTTACACTAGCAAAATGACAGAACAAAAATACACACAATGGACACAGCGGCCACAAGTCATAAAAATACGTCACTTGAATGATGCATGTTGGTGAAAAATAAGAAAAATATATTTTTATTTTTATTTTAATAATAAACACTCGTAGAATAATAGGAAACATCTTCAAATTCAATTCTTAACTCTATGAATTTGCGTAGATGGCTGACCAGAGAAAGCATGCATCAAGAATATAGCCCACAAGTGAATGATAGATTTAAAAAAAACTAGATATGGTTTTGTATAGAGTAAAAGATTTCACATATCGTTCATGATGATTATTTTACTGCTACAAAATGAAAATATCAGCAGTTTGCCTTCTTGTCTACAGTAACTTGAAAACCATGTTCTCGGTAATATACACTTCAAAATTTCTGAAACTCATGAATTTTAATATGAAATTGCATTTAATTGTTCCCCTATTGAATAAATGTTTTTACGGAATGGATTAGCTCTTGAAAATTAATACCGAAGCTGCAAATTTTAAGAATCAATATGATATATGCTGGAATATAAAAAAAGAAACATTAATATACATGAAGAGATTTTCAATTTGACGTGGTTTAAAACTTGTAAGTGGAGAAAAGAACAATTTAAGAGCTTTACCGAGTATTTAAGTGTAAAATTTTGTTTAAATTGCATTCTGTCTTAAATGTACACATGCACTGCTGTTTTAAATTTGATTCTAAATTATACTTGACCCAGTGCCTTCCAATTTCGCAACAGAATTGTCAAAGGTACTGGTAAAGCTTTCTCATTGCAGTGGCTTTAAAAAGGAATGAACATTATAAGTCATTTAAAGTCATCTAAAGATACATCTCATCTCTGGCGTTTTTCATACTAATTATTAGACCATTATTTACACACTGAATTGTCGAAAGTTTTGTCTGTTATTTCACGATCTATTTACGATCACACACCAGGTGTGACCCATAGGAAGGGAATGCCCACTCCTCCATGGAACCTGATCCCACCTTATGTTTTCGAGGTCCGTATTTCCTCTGCTCCTTTTTGTATTATTTAATGGACTTTTGAGCTTGAATACTATTCGTTATCTCCGTATATTTCATTCAAGCTCATAAGCGATTTCAAACAATGCAAATCATGGACAGAACAAACACAGAGCTCTAAAACATCAGGGATCAGGCGCCATGCGGAGTGACGTCCATGCCAACACGCCGTGTGCTCTTTGTCATAATCGGGATATAACGTGAAATCCGTCTAAAGTACAGTTTATATAATTAATGGCATAACAATCAGTATGAAAAATTTCAGTCAGCTTTTTTCTTAATAATTAGACTTTGTTTACTGTCAAGGTCATTGTATCTGCCACAGATATCTCGAAATCATGGCTTTTAACACTGTTTTAACGAATCTCCTGATTTTCTTGTTTGTATTTATGTTATAAATAGACTTTAATTCTTTTTTCTAAAATGAAATTGTTTTACAATGTCAATTTATTTATTTTGCAAGATAACAAGTTATAGATATAAATTCAAAGATTAAGATGCACAGACACACACACATACACAGGCTCCTTACAATGCAGTGCAACATTAAGAATATTATTGGAAAAAAAGAACCAATAAAGATTATGTAAATGATTTGTGTAATTAAAACCACGTCATCCTAATAAGCTTTTATATCAGATTTACATGCATTTGCATGTATTGCCTTACCATATCTCTTTGAACTCACTTTGTTCTTTTTTTGGAAGACTGTGCTTTTCCTGCCTTGTCATAATTCATGATTCTGGATTTCTGATGACCGGACCCAAAAAATATCGAACCATGGTCTCAGATTAAAACAAAAATCCAAAGTAAAATTAGAATTAGTCACTGAGTTGACATGAAAACAAATTATGCACAAAGCCAACGCGGATGTTTGAGAATAAAGGTTTAAACAAGAACTATTAAGAGTAAGCATTCTTTATCGATGTGTTCTCGTAGGCAAAATCATTTTCGTTGTCAAAAACAAAAAATGAATGCTGTATGATCACTTCATTAACTTTATTCATTTCATCTTTCAAAGAAAAAAAAACAGCGTATCATTTAATTTACAATTAACAAAAATGTAGAAAAATGATTTTTAAAATTTTTTTTTCAGGATCAAAGCCTACACAAAAAACTACATATACATCAAAAGTAGAAAATACACTTGGCAAGAAGCTCAAGAAGTGTGTGCTAGTTTGAATGGTTCTCTTGTAAACCTGGACAGCTGGGAGATGTTTGTTAGAATGCGTAGACTTAAAAAAAGCTCAATGTTCTGTGATAATGTTCCGTAATTTAATGGGTAGTTTGTTTATTCTTTACATATTTCTGAAATAACATGTCAATGAATTTCTTTTTAAATGTACATATAGATATAATAGTAATTCTTAACATCAGAAAATTACTTGAAGGATATATATATATATATATATATATATATATATATATATATATATATATATATATATATATATATATATATATATATATATATATATATATATATATATATATATATATATATATAATAATTCATAGTAAAAATACTTTGATTTACTAATGTAAAACTTAGTTTACTAGATATGATTAACTATAATGGTACTGTTTGTAGGGAATTTTTTGCACATGCGTCAACACCTGTCAGTTAAGGCTGAAAATTTAGATCCATAATCGGTATTCAATGAGCACTAAGGAAGTTTTTACAGCGACATGGGACCTAATATGGTCTCAACCAAAATAAAAGGTCTCCATGCGCAGCAGTTCAATTATATCCAGTACACATTCTAACCATTGCACCACGCGGGCGTTGTAAATCTAATGGATTAAAGTACGATTGTAGATCTGAAAAAAAATTAGAACCGATGAAAATGAAAAATAATTCTCATATATTTTTTACTGTATATAGAGCATGCTCTACGTATGTACGATTTTTAAAAAGAGGTAAATTATTGACAAACAAGTTGATTAAACAAGGATTTTCAGCAGTCTCGTTTTAAGTCGTCATTTCGTAAGTCTATGGTCGATACAATGGTTTTGTCAGTAAATACAATTTACTATTGAGTCAAATGCTGACCGACAGTTTGCATACTAATTGATCCTCCATTATTTACACTCTGAATTTACAATTTTTTCCCGTTATTTTCCGATCATGACAAGAAGCACATGGTGGATTCAAAAAGGACTACATTTTATTGAATAAACACATTAGAATAAAGTACTATATATATTTTTTTTTCTCAAGTGCATAATTAAGGATAAACCTTGCTTTAAACATTTTATATTCAAGAAAAATAGTATGATTTTTTTCATTTTTTTTTACTTATATTAATGATTTGAGTATTATGATATCATTTGAATAAGATTTTGATATTAATTTTAAAGCTTACCCAGGTTGGTAGAAATATAGAAAAATAATAATCCTTTAATTGTCCTTTTTATTTCAGGCACGACTATGCCTGGATCGGTTTGACCAATACAGCCTCTGGCATGGAATGGCAGGATTGTACACCATTCAATTTTTCAACATTTGTTTACTTTAAAGATTCTAATCACATGTATTTCGATTCCAGCAAACAATGCTACAAAACTAAACCAGATCTAGATTTTAAGTATGAACAAAAGGAATGTGATGAAGACAATGGCGCTATATGTGAACAGCGAATTGAAGGCAAGTATATCGGGGATCTAGGAAAAGTTGCTTCATATCCGTAGAAAATTATTTTTAAGCTGCTACGTTTTGTAAAAACGATGCTAGATAGGTAAAGTTTTGAATTGCCATTCAGGGTTAGATTTTAAAGCAAGAAATATTGCAATTGTATTCATCTGAGAGGTATGAAAAATATTCAATTTTATTTCGTTTTCAACTTTTATTTGTTAAATATTGCAGTTAAGGGCAAAAGAGTTCCTTTTGGTAATGCAATAAACTATTTTGTTATAGTAATAGGCGAATTTTTGAATTGACATACTGCATACAGGAAATTTCGGCCCCCGGTTTTTTCGCCCCTTTCGCCCTATCCTCATTTGGAAAAGCTTAAACAGGGGCTTAATTGTTTGCTAGTGTGAAAGGGCAAATTAAGACGGCCCGAAAATAACCGTGTATACAGTATTACCCACGTGCTTAGCTTCAAAAAATAAAATTGATTAAAAGCTCTCCAAGTTTAAGATGCTTCCATTTACGTTTAAGTAACAAATGTATTTAACTTAATTTTTTTTTATTTATTTAGGCAACACTTGTCCAATGAGTGATTTGTTGTCGCTAGAACTTTAGAGGTGTTGAATCCAGTAATAAGGCAGATTGCAAGAGAACCTGCGAGAGTGACATCGATTGCTATGCTATTGTTTCATACTCAAGTAACAATTGCTTATTGTTGAAAACTAAGGAAGGTAATGGACAAGAGGTAACATTGCCATTCGTCAGTGTATAAGTGGTATGTAGTTAAAGTCTTAAAGGATTTAAGCTAGGGCTACGCAAAATTTGTGCTTATTTCAAAGGTGGGACGGAATTTTTGAAAATATATTTTCACGAGTGTAAGGCACCAATGAAAATATAGTAAAAAAAATCCTGTCTCTCGAAAGAAAATCTATCAAATTCAACTATCGATGAAACGATGGGTTTTCTGTTCTAGATAATTTCTTTGATTTTCCTTTTGCATTTGTCTAACTTTAATTAAGAATCTCTAACTTGGCTTGTGAAGGTAGGAGTTAACTATTTGTGGATATGGATAATGAAGTTTGCTTTTCTTTTTAAGGTGAAGTAAAGCAGGAAAGTGACGTCATAACCCCTACACCGGTAAAAGATCAGAACGTTGTTCTAGACTGTTCAAATACAGCAAGTTAGCATGTTACTTTTTCATATAATCATTTTAATTCGCTAGGGTCAATATTAATTTTTGCATATAAACAATTACTGCTTCGATGGAACATATTTACCTGCGTAGCGTATATGTACTGGAGAATTAATTTTATGAACCAATATAAAATGATTTTTCGTAGGAAACGGTGATACAGGAAAACCACAAACATTGAAATATCCCAAGATCATTGATAATTCCACAGTATATGCCTTTATCTTCTTAACTGTAAAGCTCAGTACTTGTAACATAGACAAGAACTTGCTAACTTTTCGACCATATGACCCATACGTTTATAGTTATATATATATATATATATATATATATATATATATATATATATATATATATATATATATATATATATATATATATATATACATAAAAATGATTTAATGTAAAAGAAATATCGCACTATATAAAAAAAGCAATTACAGAAAAAAATATTAAATCAAATCGTAAGAAAATTTTCTTTTGGCTTTTACAAGATATTTACGGAAGACATTTTAAAAACCATTTTAAAAATGTTTTACCTTTAAACTCCTAGGTCAATGTCAAAGGGTAAAAGTTTTTTGTTTCTAAAGAAGGTCTTGTCACAAGAATTACATATTTGAAGTGAAAGCCTTAGCTTTGACCGTTCAAAAGTTTTGGCCAAGGTTAAAGTTTTTAAAAAGAAGGTCAAATTCCTAGATCATGATCAAGGTCAAAGGGTCATAGATGTTGGTATTCTAGGAAAAGTTCTGTTACATATATGAAGTATAAAGCCCTAGCCCTTACCGTTAAAAAGTTATGGCTAAGGTTTAAGTTTTTTAAAAGTAGGTCAATCTACCTTAACAAAAATACTTTTTTTAATTAACAATAGTTTATTTCTCAAGTTATTTTGATTATTTAACTCTTTTAAGGAATTCGATTTGGGGTTTCCTGGCTGGTTTAGTTGCACATCTTAATTTAAATTTATTAAGTAACTCATTCAAATGCAATATTTACATTAAAAAAACCCTCTTGACTGAAGCAAATCTTTTGGTTTAAATGCTGTAAATTTTATGTTTCATTATTTAAGTTTACTTTTTCTATAAATAAAACGTAGGTTATATCTGCATTACATTAAATAAAATAGATTTAAATAAATATCACTTATTTATCGGCGAAGAGACAACCTCTACATTAAAATTAATTTCTTTTACATTATTTAAAAAGTTCTCTGAAGCTGTAATGAATCTTAGCCTTGAATTATCATAAAATGTACATAGTGGGAATCAAAAACATAATTTCACGAGTTTTATACTTCCTTATCAAAGTTCCAACGTTTTAACTACAATAAATCAAAGTTCCAAGTTATCACTATAGTAAATAAAAGTTCCAAAGTTTTCACTATAGTAAATCAAAGTTCCCAAGTCTTAACGTTAGTAAATTAAAGTTCCAAAGTTTTCACGTTAGTAATTCAAAGTTTCAAAGTTTTTAACTTGCTACTATAGTTAATTATAGTAAATAATAGTTAAGTATAGTTATTATAGTATTTTTTGTAAGGATACCAAGGTCAGAGTCAAAGGATCAGAGTTGAAATCCAGTGAAGGGCTTGTCACGAGTACATATGAGAAGTATGAAAGTCCTAGCACAAACAGCTTAAAAGTTATGGCCTAAGTTAAAGTGTGGCATTGTTTTGTAAAAGTAGGTCAAACTCCAAGGTCAAGAGGTCAACGTTGTTGGTATCCAAACAAAGATCTCCCCACTCATAAGTTAAAGGCAAGGATAAAGATTTTGTGGCCAAACAGACAGACGAGGCAAAACATATGTACCCCCAAACTTTTACGATGACATAAAAACATTTATTTCCTATGTAGCTTGTAACACGAGTGTTGATTGGTTACAGGGTTAGGTATAAATTTTTGTGCACCCGACATCTCGAAATCTTATCGAAAGGTTGAGACACAGTTGATTGGAATTATGTTTTCAAAGAATTTATTTGGGTACAAGGGAAATAAAATCGTTACCAGGTCCAATCAAGGGTGAATGGGAATTACCACTGGTGTATGGAATAAAACCCGGGTAAATCCCCGTAAACCCTTGATGGTACCTGCATAAGTAATAGTACATATCTTAGTTAATTATTTAGAATAGAGAAAAATAATTCCTTTTCAAGTTAATCCATATATATCACTGAATGATATTGCAAATTGTTCAATTTTTACAGAAAACCCGATAGCGTCAGCTTCTCTTTCCTATGTGTATTTGCCAATTAGCTGCTACAACTATTCAACTGTGGAAAATGTTACCATCGTGGAAAGCACTACAGTAACACAGAACGTCACAATAACAGATGAGGTCACACAATCTGTAGAAGTCACACTCACTGTAAATTTTACCATGACGGAAAATGTCAACATAACAGATTATGTCATAGTAAAAGAAAACGTCACAAGGACAGAAAACGTCACAGTGACGCAATATATTGAAAGGACAGAATACGTCACAGAAAACGCGGTTACAGCAATCGTGACTTCTTTTGCTCCCTACACAGTTACTGTACAAGTGCCTATTACTCCATTACCATCTGCTTGTGAAGATCAAACGTCTTACATAAATACTTCAAACACTCGTTATATAGAGGAGGCGGTGCAGAATATTTCTAAAGCATTATACATGGATAAAAAGACGACTAATTCTTACATACGAACAAAAACAAGTGCACAGGATAATCGACCGTCTTCAGTGACGATGGGATACGTAGGTATCGTGTGTGTGGTTGTGCCGTTAGTTCTAATTCTGTTGTCGGATTTAAAAACGATTTATGTTCATATGTCGGCTGTATGCAGGAGTTATAATGGACCACCATCCCCGCCAGCATGACAATGTGGGCTGGATGGATTTGGACTTTATTTTTTTTACTCATTGAAGCCTTTGCTCACCCTTGCACAATTTATATAGAGACAAAGGGATCACGAATGCGTTGCATGCAACATATTTCTCCATAATCCTTGATGGTTCTGACATTGAACACTATTTTTTTATATGTGCAGGGGAGTGGCAGATTCTTGTGTTATACTAAGAAAAAACTAGAATTCTATTTTACATGCTGGTGTGGCGATTTTTCTTTCCTTGTTTGTCTTTTAATCAGAGGCCACGGTTAAGTTGAGTGTTACTGGTCGACATTGGATGCTCACTCCTCCATGGCACCTGATCCTATCTCTGATGTTTTAGACGTGTGTTTTCTCTACACTTGATATGTATTGCTTGAATGGACTTTCGATCTTGAATACTGTTTGTTACCTCCATATATAACACACTACATTCATCGGGCGTCATTGCAGAATTTTTGACATGAAAAGAGACACAAATACGTCGTGTTTCAGTATTTGCTAACCCTTCAAGTTTTTATTATTGTAAGATTTGAAAGATGGAGGACTGCTGGTTGCGTGCCCTTGCCCATAACCTTTTTACATATACTGTAGTATATTAAGACGCAAACTGTAAATACCCCCAAAAAAAAAAAGATAACAAAAATACACGTTTTACAATTTTATTCAAGATGTCATAAAATGAGAACAATACCATGTATTTACATTGAATTTACATAAAACAGTGCAAAATGTTATAGAACGCAATTTCTTGGAGTGACCAAATTTTAAATCGAACATGAAAAAAAAGGTAATAAAGTGCCATGGTTACATAAGAGATAATTTTCTTTTTCCAGGCAGATGTGTCTTGTGAAAGGTTCACCGTTGTAGAATGTACTGTCTTTTAAACCCCCCAAAAAAATCTTTTAAAAGAATAATATTTTATTATAAATAGTTTGATGAATATCAAAACTATTCAAGTTATTTGGTTCGTTTTGTTTTACCTAAACTAAGCCAACACAAGCAATAACTGAAGTTTTAACCAAAACAATTAATTTTTTCTCTGTAATTGCCTTTTGTATTTTAAGTTGTAATGAATCATAGGCATACTGCTTTCCATCCGGTGATCTTAGGACCAGTTTCCTACACGAGTTTATTACTTGCTGTCACCAATTCTCATATGGCAACAAAGGAAGTCTCTTTCTTCAATTTTGTTGAAGAACACAACACAGTAAATTTCTTCACAAGCTGATTCCCAGCTTCAACCATTTTCGAGGATCTAGATTCCTCAATTAAATGATTTTAACATACATTTAAATATATTTACAAAGTGTCATGACAACAATAAAATTACAACTTGTATATTCCAAAATAATTTTTTATCACCGAGGATTTATCCAGAAACTTGTGTCCACTCTGAGACAGCGGGCTGGCAATACGATAATCCTTCTGCAACTCGAACACTCCCGCAAGAAAATTTGTATGATGTCTATCAGATTCAGGCGACCCCCAAATTTACTGAAAATGAGGTCAACATCGCCTGTCTTAGGCAACATAGGGTGATATTTAATAATACTTTGATACAGAGTTTCAACAGTGTCCTGACCAGTGTGATCAAACGTAGTGGAGCTGTATATGAAATAGATGCCACCTTTTTTGATGCGCATGTGCGTTCCGTTCATCAGTTCAATATCGTGTGCAAATGCGGTACCATACAAAATCGTCAGTTATCCACCGCAATTTGTTTTCTGCAAAGAGAATCCTTGGGTAAATACTTTAAGTACTTAATATGTATAATAAAATACATCAGTTCTGTATTGTTTTATCATTTTTTCTTATTTATGACGAACATAAATTGCATCTTTTTTTCTAACAAACACTTTTAAAATGAAAAATGCATAATTAATTAATCATTGATTTTGTTATATTTCCTAGAGTGAGTTACATGTAAGTACTTTAGTAAATAATCGATGAATCTGAATGTCTTTTTTTTTAATGTTGACAAAATAATCACTGACCCTTTGTAACGGAGTTATCCCTGTCCAGATAAAGGTGAGCGGAGTGGGGTCTATTTCTCCACCAGGTGAACGAGTCCCGGATCGAGGAATTATTACCTGAAAAAATAACATTTATAGATAAGTTTGGTGACAAAAGTTTATCCATATCTTTTTTCTTTTATATTTTTTTTTCAATAATCTATTGAAATTAATCTCAAATAAACGTCCGTAAAGACATGCTCTAGAATTCTTATAGATTAGTCTTTTTGAAATGAAATCATTGAACCTCCAATGAAGACATTTATTTAAAAATACTGGATGTTTAATTTTAACTTCTGTTTAATTAATTAATATGTTTTTATTAGAACTTCAGAAACTGTTAAATTAGCTCTTCGATAATGAATGTAGAGTTGTTAGGTTTAAGAATTTTACATAGGCCTCACCTTTGTCATTGTTCTGATTTAGTGTCTGAAAAGAAGGAAAAACCTAGGTTTGAAAACGAAAGTAAAAATGCAACCTTAACTTTCCCAATTCATTTTTTAAACATTCCTTCTAAAAATAGGTCACAGTAATGTTGTTATAATCACTTACCGCTTGTACAAAATCATGAATCACACTGTTTTTAATGCAGCATAACTTGTGTTGACAATCAGTTGTAACAATTTTGTCGTACAGTGTCTCATTCACACTTACACTGTTTCCCAAATAGTCACACGAAAAACAAACCGAGTCTTTTGTTTGTAACTCCCCATCACCGCTTACATTCCCGATAATTTCCTGTTGGAGAGTGTCGGTTTTAAACCGAAAGTAGGCCCCAACATTCTCCCAGTTTAATGCGAGTAAAAATCCGAATACTATCGCTAATAGTAAATTTATCACACAGGAAATTATCACTATGATTTTACAAACTTGTCCTGAGTTATTCATTTTCAATATCTTTGAAAAATTCACTCCCGTTAGCTGTACGTGTTTCTTCTTTATATGTTGTTTCGTGAATGTGGGTTTTTCCATTCCGTGTAGAATTAGCCCACTCTATTTATAAACGTCCACAGATAATTGAGTTTCCAGGGTTACTGTCGAGGATTCAGGAAAAACGTAGGAAGTAGTTCAAAAAGTCTATTATATAATTAATGTTATATATGCTTGTATGAATGATGTATTTTTTTTTTTTATTTTGGAAAATTGAATATGTATTTTTAAAAATGATAATGAACTTACGACTGTACGAGGGTTGTCCGTAAAAGTTCGTGGACAAGCAAAAATTCAGATTAAAATGGTGTCATTGATATTTCTTATTAACATATTTATAATCCTTTAGTAAATGTGAACTACAAAATTTAAGATTATATTCAAAATCAAATATACAATTTCAATTATGGCTTCATTTATTAGAATGTGGATGAGGACCCGGAGCACTAAATTGTTAATCAAAATGTTATTTATCACTTTATAATTTTCATTTGTATTTGGCAAATTCCGCGGAAATTTGGATTGCTTTAACATCATGAGGTTGACGAGAGTTATTACTTCAAACCTGCCAAATTTGAACGTTCAAAGTTTAGAAATGATTTAGATATCGAGGTTAGAATCTATTAAGACGGGATCGGCATTGTTTGAAATAGGGACGTTTTCGGAAAAGGTGGAGCAGAGAGCAGTGATTAAATTCTGCTGAGACATCGGAACAACACCAACAGAAACCCATAAATGATTTAAACAGTCGGGAAAATATAGTAAATGAAGCCGTTCTTAAGTATTTAAGTAAAATCTAAATTATTTTACAAAAGTACGTAAGGAATGTTAACAGTTTAGGAACAGCTAAAGTCGGACAGCATCGAATGTCGGACAGTCTTCTCTTTCAGAATAAAATCGTTACTAAATTTAGTGTCATGTGTATTTTTCTTTCAGTATCTCCATCTAAAGGATGTTATTGGTTGTTTCATACATATATAGTCGTGAAAACGTTTGAAATAATGTCTAAAATCTGATTGATCCATACGCGTCTCACGGATCCGGATAAAATTCGCATGCGCACCGAGCGCGCGCCTGTCAACAGTGACCTAGTTATCCTTGGCGAAATCTTCAGTTTGCCGTCGGTACTCCGTGATTGCCAATATATTTTGTAATTAAATCATACTTTTACATGATTAATATTAATTATTTCCATGATAATAATTTTTTGGTGGATATTTATTTATAAAACCATTAAAATTAAACTGTCCGACTTTACATTCTCGGTCATTTAAAGTCGGACAGAGGAGAATTTAAAGTCGGACAGCACATTATATTGAATAAATTGTATTTTAATTGTCATATTTTTAAATACTGGAACAATTTATCAGAATATCATGATACTTTGTGCAGCCATGCTCCAATACGATTTAACACCTAAAAAATGAAGTAAATTGGACTTTAAATGCCGAAACCAGTATGTGTCCGACTTTAAATTCTACATGTCCGACTTTCACTGTCACTGTCCGACTTTATCAGCCTTTGCTTTTCCGTGTTTGGTTTTGATTTATAGCATTACAAAGCTTTTAACCAATGAAAATTAAGAATAGAAAAGAGGGTAAAAACATCATTTTATGTGACGTAGAACTTTCCGGTTATGTGTTAAGAGTTTGGAGCGTGTACCGAAGGTGCATACGAGAAGGTCCGAAAACCGTCCGACTTTCGCTGTTCCTCCCTACGGGATGGCATGCGTGAAGGAAGACCACCATTCCGAGATTACAGTGCTGTAAAAATTGAATTTTGTAACGTGACATTGCGGTATTTCCTTAAATAAAGTCTTTTTTCGCGGACAAAGGCTTGATGATTTGCAGGATTTGAAGTGTTAAATATCATTTTACATATGAAATCTGAATAGTTTGTATACATCTTTGATGACTGCTTAAAGCTACATCAGAAATGTATTGAATTAAACGGTGACTGTGTTGAGAAACGTTCTAACATGTATTAAGCTTTTGACGTCGGGTAACGTCAAGGATTTTTGTTTTAGTGCTCCGGGTATGAGTGTGTGTCTTTTTTGTATCTAATAAAAACATATATATTTGTACTTTGGTTTTGTTTAAAATTTGCATGATATAAATGAAAAATTAATTTAATGAAAATGATAGGTTCATATAATATATCAATGTTTGTCAGTAATTATCAATGTTGTCCAAGAACTTTACGGACAACCCTCCTAT